TTTTAGTACGAGCACTGGCTTCCTGACGTTTGACAAAATTTACATAGGATGTTTGCTTATAAAGAGTTTTTCAGGCGTTTTTCCTATCTTTAATAGTTTGGTCGCACTCTACATTCCACCAAGGAGGAGGAGGTCGTTTTTTGGCTTTAAAGGGTTTGTATTTTGGGATGGATTGGTGAGCTGCATTGTCAATGCAACTTATTAAAAAATTGTAGTTTTCACTAGCATTTAAAGCATGAGATGGATTATCATTAGTGTATGTTTCCATTAATGGTGTGTATAAAGGCCATTTTGCTTTCTTTAAATTCTATTTACTTCTAGGGTAAATTATATCATTATATTTTTTGGTATTTTCGATGATAACAAGGTGATTTGAACCTAATGTATCTACATCTACCATCCAATTGGTTTTATTAAATATTTGTGGTGAACAAAAGGAAATATCTATTATAGAAAGGCTCCCAGGACGAGTTTGACAAGTAGGTTCGCTATTGTTCATTACTACTAAATCTAAATCATGTACAGTATTTAAAATTTGTTGACCTACAGAATTGTTTTCGGCAGAACCCCAAATAGAATTATAGGCATTCATATCGCCTTCAATAATGCAAGGCTGATTAATTTGTGCCAATTTTCATTTTTAGTTTTGGTTTCCATTAAAAGTTTTCTTTAAAGTTGTGTCGATATTTTAGAGTTAATTTAAATTTGGATTTTGAAATGTGCGATTGTGTCTATTTAAAATGTCAAATGATATCAAAGTGTCGATGTGGATTTAATCATTTCCAGAGTTGTCTATGGACATGGGAAAAGTATTCTGCTCAGTCTACAGCAAAATTGCAAGTACAAATTTTATTTCAAAACTATACAGACTTTTCAATCTAATAAAAACTGTTTCTAAAAAACAAGCTATACAAGGTGTGTCATGAAAAGGGTTTATTAAATATGCACAAGGTGTATTTTACGTAACTTTTTAGATTTCAAATATTAGGATTTTTCGGTATAAAGAGTGTCCCTTGCCTCTGGCATACAGGGTGGGGCAAACTTTAATCGTAGTTCCATAACTTCTTTCGTACAAAACTAAACAATTTGTTTATATATACAGGGTTATCCAATAATAAATGCAAATCATTTAATTTTTCTTAAACTAAATGATCTACTTTTTAATTTTTTTGGAACCGTTATAGTTACTGCTACATGCCCCTGAAATATTTTTTCAATTTATTTTTCTTAGAATTTGGCTAGATAATTAAAAACATATGTTAGGGATATGTAACAGTAACTATCTTGTATACATGAAAATAATTAATATAGAATACATGTTTTCTTACCGAATTTATTTAAAAGTTTTGAAACATTTGCTCTACATAATATGTTATTTCGACTTTGTAGATTACACCTGAGAAAAGGTTTCTAATAATACAGCATGTTAAAACTGCATCACATGTGGCTAAACGAGGCAAAGTGACATCTGAAGAAAAAAATCAACCGTCAATATCAAAGTGCTTTCAATCTAATGTTGCCAAAAGTTCAAGTGAGCAAGACTTCAGGCAAGATTTATGTCGAGCCTTGATAACGTCAAATATACCCTTATCATAACTGTCAAACGATAATTTTCAATCTTATCTTCAAAAGTATTGTAAATTTAATATACCCAGCTAAGGAACTCTAAGAAGAACAGAAATTGATCATTTATATTCTTATGTATGTACTTAATAGCATAAGATTAGAGATAGTGAATAATTATTTTTTTATAAATGTAGATGAAACAACAGATGCCTCAGGACGTTACATTGCATATTTCAACTAAATTCCTTTCATATATATGATCATATTTCTTACTTTTTTTCTTTATTTTTGCCTCACCTTATTTATAATAAAGCAGTGAAGATGGCTTGATTCATGAAAGGCGAGTTTTCTTTGCTGACAAATTTATATTTCTAAATAAAAAGCATCGTTTCATGCTCACCTAGCTATTAACATCGTATGAACACAATTATTTATACATTGGGGTCGTATCTTCTTATTTTCAACTTCCAAGAGTTAATTTAAAAACAATTTTTACCTTTAATCTCCGTGGAATGATAATGTGCAAAAAGGTTGTTAAAATAAAATCAGCAAACGTTTAAATTTAATTTCCGTAATATGATTATCCATTTTTTCGAATGTTGTTAAATTACTTCAAAGAATTAAATAAAAACACAAAATTTAATGTAATTTATTAGTTGAAGGAACTAGTTTCGGCCATCTTGGCCTAAATCGAACTTATAATAAAATTAATACATGTTGAAAGAATGAAAAATATTAAAATAGTTACTTAGGTATAAATTAAGGTTAAATAATAATAATGAGCCCAAAATATAATTTTAAACCTTTTCAGATCTTTATTATGCCTCCTGTCAATTGCAAATATATTTTTCGAATGGGTTCATTACTATAGTAAGAATTTTTAAATTAATTTAAGTAAGAAACATTGTGGAAAACATTTTGCCCGTCAATTCTGTTGAAATGACTCAAACCCCTTTTTGGTACACCATTTATAATTGTTTATTTAAGCATCAAAACTCTTTTTTTATCAAATTAACACATAATAGACCTGAAACAACAAGTTTGTTTTGCTCGATACACATAAATATTAACACGTTAAATAGAGCGCAAACTGAACAAGTCTTGTATCTACGTAATTTTACCTTCATTTGCATTTTTTGTCAGGTGTAGACTCGAAGACATTCAGTCGCGACAACTAGAATTACATCAGGCTTCCTTTTCCGCCAGTATTTTTCTAGTTTTGGACTTAACTGTACATTTGGTTAATGAAGCAAATTGGTGAGGTAATAAAAATTTTAGCATGATTAAAACGGAAGTCAAATTGGCGTTGTTTTTTATGTTCTTTAATTTTTGGAACGAATGACGTCTTAGAGAGTAATTTGTTAAATTAATTTTTAATCATCAACATCGTTTTTGCTATAATTATCGAGACGTATTATACATGGTGTCCCATAAATGACTATATAAGCTATATAGAAAAACTACTTTTAAGAATAAGTAATTAATAAGAAAACAGGTATGAAGTAAGAATAATTAAACAGAAATGAAGCTATAGTAAAGCTTTCAATTTAAAATTAAAGAATAAACTAATTGTATAATCGTGCAGTGGACTGTATATAAAAATTCGGGTTTTTTAATAACTAAATGATTTTGTGACAGTTGAAAAGTATCTTACTTTTTCTATACAAACGGTAATATCGTCGCCCATTTTACAAAAAGGCATAACTCATTTTTTGCAACTTTTCAGGAGAGCGATTTTAAGATTTTAAAAATGAGGTGGTCTCAGTTAATTAATCATAGTATGGAAATACAACTCCCGATTTACTTGATTTTTTGAACAAGTGTAACTAAAGAATGTAATTTGTATTGCCTTATACTATTTATGAGTTATTGTGAGCAGTTACCTAGAAAATCAGGTTTTCTTGAGATATGCCCTTTTGAGACGAACATTTTCCAAAAAATCCTTGAGTTAGGTCCGACGACATGCAATATTAAAACACAATACAAATTGATTTTAATGCATTTTTGTTAACAAACATGATATTTTTGATTTTTGTTTTTTGTAACATTATTAAGGAATATAACTGGCTTTAAGAAATATTTCGTTTTAAACAAAATAATTTTTATTAAAAAATGTGAAGCTCATAAGCTATTACAAAAAAAAAACTTAAAAACAAAGATTTATTTATATTATATTGTAAGTACTTAGTCTTTGGTCCCAGGAAAAACTAATTATTCGTGGGGTAGGTGATTGTAAAAATGCCTGTGGTCCTCCGACCTTATAACACTCTTCTCTCCTTGACATAGAGAGCACACGTCTCTATATTTAAGGTTCGGTATCTTGATTGAGCCTGTATTTAATTTAGGAATTGAATTCTTAAGAGTGTGATTAGACTCTATATTTTTGCTGCTGTATAATGAGCGGCTAAGTTTAGTTTTGAACTGAATTGTATTTTGCTTTAGTTTCGTAACTAGCAGCTCAGATACCTTTGTCCAGTCGACGGTGTCACTGGAATTGTCACATTTTCGAATGGTCAGGATTCGTAGATTTTTAGACAGTTCCTTAAAGGTAGAAACTTTTCAGGATTCATCTCTTCTATATTGTAAGGGTGTTTGCATCTAGCCAGTCTTATTATACTTGTTAATTGTGAGGATATAAAAATATCTCCCGCTCCTTTAACGGCATATTCTATGGCACTATGTGCAATATCCCCTTCACTTTGTCCCGTGGTGGGGCTCAAAAAACGTGATACGAATCTCATCTAATGTAGTGCTGTTATTTATTCATGCAATAAAGCATCATTGTGGGTAAAATTGTACTTTTTGTTTTGGCTAGCACATCCATCGCAATATAAGTGAATAACACTTTTGTTTTGGGATTCAAATTTTATTTATAGAAGTGTAAACGTAAGTGGCAACTTCAGATGACCCTCTTTTGCTAATTGCCTCGTGCCACAAATAGCAATCACAGTCTTTAGATGCTATATCATATACAGTGAAGTTGTAAACTAACAACCTTGTTTTGTAGAATATAGCACTCTCTTTTGATATTGGAAGTGAAAAAACTTGTTGCAAGTCAAAAACAGCACAAGCATACTTTGAGTTTGGTTGCTGAGTCATTTGTTTACTTTCATCTTTCATTTTTCTAACGTTATTTTTTCTAACAATGTGTAATTCATATTCTAGTGATAACTCCTTTTTTTTTTCTTTATAGCCATTATTATATGACATACAAAGGCTGCATTGATCCTTTCTGGTCGGTGAAAGGATAGTTTTTGCGGTACACAGAAAAAGCTCCTTTCATTAGAGGTTCAGATTAATCTGCTAGATTTTCATGTAAATATTTACGAGTTGAATTTTGACGGTAATAATGAGATTCAACTCTTCCAAATTTATTTATGTGTTCGGTAATTCTATTAATTAATTGAAGGTCTCTATCGACTTGTGACTTATACCTTCCTTCTCTCTGTTTTTTTTTCTATATTTCCAGTTGTACTTATAGTCTTTGCTGTCGTTGCCAGATTATTAATAAAAAATGTTTTACAAACTGATAGTTCGTCGCCGTCTAACGGAAGGAAGTAATAAATGCTTTTATTTCTTCGAGATACCTGTTTTTGTGTAATTTTTTGTTTGATTTCTTCCATTTTGATGTACCTTGCAATGTACTCTCTTTGTAACTGCAAGGATCTCATTGAATAAAAATCTTGCACAATCTCTTGTCTTTTACCATCACTGAAGAGACTACATTTCTTATTACGTTTTGAACATGATTCTCCATTGCATCGAGGTCCCAATTGTTTTGGTGGCATGAGGTTCATTGTTTTCGGTCTTATATAATACTGTCCTTTGTTCTTTAGTTCTTTGGCTAATTTATATGAATTTATTTTCCTGACTTTTTTAAATGAAACTTCTCTTTGAGATCCTTCGACTGGAAACAAGCTCTCCGGATTGTAATCTTGGTGTAAGCGGCAGTTATTATCTGCTTTAAAGTGTTTAGAACACAATAAGACTTTTAAGCAGATACAAGCACTATATATTTCAAATGAACAATTTGGGTGTTCACAGAGCTTTTCGTTGCTGTCTTCATTACCTAAGTTAGCTGCTTCATTTGCCTTCGGGCTTCTTTTATTTATCTTTCTAGACTTTCTCTCTAATTCTTTATTTGTCCAACTTTCTGGACTAAATAAGTGACGCCGACATAGATCATGTTTATTACAAATAACTTCTTTGCAAAGTAATGCACTACACTTATTAATGCCTTTGTTTTTACATTTTCTCGCGGTACATTCCTCACTTTTACTAATGGATTGAGTATACTTTCGTTTTTTAGCTTCTCTTGTTATCGGCCGTCTCAAAAGTGTGTTTGATACATCAACTTTATTCTTGTTTTTTTTTTAATAATGGGAAGAATATCATCATCAGAGCCACATTCGTTTAAAGGAGATTTTAATAGGCCAACTTCCTTCTGGCTATTATCATCAGAGCTGTTGTACTGTGCGTCACTATCATCATTATTTTCTGTAGCAATTATTATTCCATAGTAGAATTTTCCACCATAATCCATTTTTACTTTTTTATTTTTTTCGAAACGGTTTGATCCATCAATAAGAGACAATAATTGTTTAATTGCAACAACATTTTCTGTTCCAACTTCCCATTTAATTAAAACATCCACGATTATTAATTAGTTATCTGAAACAAATAATAATTACAGTTTCGTACCTACATAATACAAAAATATTTTTTTCTCCTTGTTGAGTGCTCCGCTAAATAATTTTATTCCAATTTTTTTTAGAATCAATAGGCTTCATTTCCTTATAGAACTTGATTTTTTACCAAACATTTTATGTTGATATTGCTTTTGGTGTTTGATTTCTATTTTTTTATTTCGACCCCCCTTAACCCCCCATTTTGTTCACATTTTTTTTTTAATCAATAAACTTTGTCCCCTTATAGAGTTTGATTTTTACTAAAAATTTCAAGTTGATCTTTTTTTATTTTTGAGTTAGGATTTTTTTAATATTTCAACCCCTCTTAAGCCCCCATTTTAATTCAGATTTTTTCAGAATCAATAGGCTTCTTCCTTTTATGGAGCTTGATTTTTACTAAAAATTTCATATTGATATCACCTTTCGTTTCATATTCATGATTTTTTTTTTAATTTCAACCCATACATTTTTAATCAATTTTTTTCCAAATTTAATAGCTTCTTCCTCCTTAACCCTTCATTTTTTAGATTTTTTGAAAATCCATAGGCTTTGTCCCCTTATAAAACTTGATATATTTCCTGAAGTTTTCAAATTAAAACTATACCTTAGGGAACTTATTGCACAAAGATTGTACTAAAAATGTTTGATGATTTCTAACACAACTCTTTCATTAAATATTTAAAACATTTTGATCTCCTTGTATATGACCATCAGCAAACAACATGTACCTGTCAGCAAACAGAGAAACTAGTTTTGACTTAGACGCTAATGACTCAAATGGTATATTCGAAGAAGTTATTAAAGAAGGAAGAAAAATATACCGTTATTTGTGGTGCTGGAAATGACTACAAAATAATATCCAATATACATACAGAACGATTTTTCGATGAATTCGATATTTGATTATTCGTACCATGTCTCATGTCTTGACCCATTTAAGTTGTTTGTGAAGAAGATGGTTGCTGGTACGACGTGGGTTGACCATTAAGCAATTCATTGGCGTACTTATAAAATATTTAAAGATAAAAACACTCTGAAAGTTTTTTTTAATAAAAAGGTTTTTATTTAATGCAGTAATTTACAAACAAATCCAGTTTATCCATTTATTTTTGTATTATAATTAAATTTAATAAGGTATCATTTGATTCTGATTTAGGGTCTATATTCTATGTAGTATCAAGTCCGTAAAGTACGAAATACATTCATGAAACATTCAACTGATTAAATAAGATTACTCATATATTTTTAAATATGTATTTTATACAATGTATTAATTGTTTGTTTTTTTTTTCTTTCAGGTAAGCACCAATTTTTTACAACTTGTAAGGATTTTACGTATTTATATTTTTGACTTTTATATTGGTTTAATTATAAACACCTGTCTGAATTTAAATACTAAGGCCAACTATGTCACTTATCGGACTTAAATAAAGTAATTGAAGACTTTTTTACAAATATGATACGTATTCAAAATTATTTTTTTTTCAATAAACACAAAAAAACATTCCTAATAAACTATGCACAAAACGCTCTAGGTTGAGTGACAAAAGTGTCATCCATGGGAAGGTGGGGGGTACAATCAAACCAAATAAGTATGAGGTATATTTTTATTAGAACAATAATCTCACAGAAACATATTAAAAATCTTGTTTGCATTTGTTCGATAAGATAATCAAAATTTAAAGCTCTTTTGTTTTTAATACTCAAATGAGCCAGGCTTCTTAGTCTTATTTGAGACCTCAGTAGGGTTAGATTACAATAAGAAGAACACAGCTACGTCATCATTTGGCGAAGTAAATTCATTTGCCTTTTGGTTGTTTAGTGACGTATTAATATTGTAGAAAAATAGGTAATAGTTTTTTATATCCAACAACTTACTTATTCTGTATTTATTGATAGTTATAGATAATATAAATTTGATATTAGAAATAATAGTTATGACGTAGCTGTGTTCTTCTTATTGCAATCAGACTCTACTTCTAAAGTAATTTTTAATAATTTTTAATAATTTTTAATTTCAAATGCGATCTTTCCGCAGAAGCAGCTCTCATAGAGAATTTTTAAAACTAACAAAAAAGTAGTATACAAATTTTTAAACCCAAAGGTGAGTGTGCAATGATCACAAATAAAAAGTTTGTCGAAGAAATCTTTCACAGTGGAACTATTGAAAATATTTTGACTGCAAGATTATATTGCATTTAAACTTATTTGCCCCGGTAGCTACTCCACTGTTTAAATGACCAACTACAATTTATATGACTCTTTTTTTTTGTTAGTATACCTTAGGGGTGGTGAAGATCTAATAATATAGTCTGAGAGAATCATCAAAATCCTAATTTTTTTTGTATATTCAGCGATACTTTTTTACAACCTTGTCTGATTTCTATGATTCTTTTTTTTGTTTTGGTAAAAATAGGGATACCTCAGAGGTGGTCCCGTATACATTTAGTCAAGATCTGATGATAGGATATGATAAATTTATCAAACTCAATTTGTAATGATATCTGCATTTTAAAGTCGGTTTTTTTAAAATTACTTTTAAAATTTTTTTTTAATTTGTTTATTAATTATAACCTCAAAACTTACTGTCATGGAAATTTTAAATTCTTTTTTTTTAATTTGTTTATACTTCATACTGATTTCTTGACACCAACAGCTCCAACGTGAATGAAAAAGGACAAAAAATTGTTTCAGTTGTTGAAATATATTTTGGTAGGATTTTGTTGAGTGAAATTTGCATAATTTGTAAGGAAACAACAAAATTTTGACAAAAAAAAAAAAATCTCACCTCGCGCGGTATTTGGAAAAAATTCACACTGAAAAGTATTATAGGTTTACTTTCGAAAAATAAAAATTTTTAATGTGGTCCCAAATATAAAAATATTTGTACCAAAGTCCTTCACGTTTTGTCCGCACGATAAGTCAAAAACGAAAAGTGATATCAACTTGAAAATTTTAAGCAAAAATTAAGCTCTATAAGGGGCAAAGCCTATTGATTTTGAAACAAAATAATTAAAAAATAGAGGAGTTAAGGGGGTTGAAATATTACAAATAATCCTAACTCAAAAACGAAAAATGATATCAACTTGAAAGTGGAGGTTAAGGTAGTTAAAATATGTATTAGCAATTGGAAATTTTTAACAAAAATTAAGTTCTATAAGGGGACAAAACCTATTGATTTCTAAAAAAAATTTATTTAAAAATAGCGGGGCTAAGAGAGGTTAAAATTAAAAAAAAAAATGAATCAAAATCGAAAAACGATACATCAACATGAAATTAGTTAAACTTAAGCTCTATAAAGAGATGAAGCCTATTTATTCTAAAAAAAATTCAGTAAAAATGAAGAGTTAAGAGGAGGTTGAAATATAACTCGAAATCGAAAAATAATATTAACTCTACTGATTTAAAAACAAATCTGAATAAAAATGAGGGATTTAAGAGGCGTTAAAATTAAAAAAAAATCAGAAATCAAAAACGAAAAGCGATATCAACATGAAATGTTTATTTAAAATCAAACTCTGTAAGGGGATGAAGCGTATTAATTCTAAAAAACAATCTGAATAAAAATAGGGGTTAAAGGGGGTCGAAATATTTAAAAAAATCCTAACGCAGTAACAAAAAACGATATCAACTTGAAATATTTTCAGGAAATTAGTTTTATAAGGGGATGAAACCTATTGAATCTGATTAAAAATGGAAGATTAAGGTGAGGGATCTATTAAACTGTGAACAGTATAATATAAAGGGTAACACATCAAAAACTTCTCACCCTAAATATCTTCCTTCCAGTAAATATTATGAAAAATCGCAAAAACCCGTCAATTTTATTTATAATAAACATTCGTGGCTCAACCTCCTAGAAGGGTAGATACCCTTAAAATCTTAAATGGGAAAGGGGGTCAAGTGGCACATCATTTTAGAGGATGTTTAATTCTCTTTCCAATGGTACCCTAATTTATTATCTTCTGACAATCAGGTTCCAAAAAATTGCATTTCAAAATTACAGAAACTGAAACATGTTTATACTGAGATTCGTGGTTTTCAATTTAATATTTAAACAAGCATTATTCTATCGAGTTAAATAACAGAAGGAATATCAAGTCCACACGTTTGATTTTTTTAGTAACGTGACTTTTACAAAATTATATGAAAATAAAACAGTAATATAGTTTGTTTCCAAACTACATTTCGGAAAACTTCACTGGGAATTGACCGGCATGCTGCTGTGATTCGCCTTTTAATATCATCAATATCAGCAGGTTATGTTTCATAAACAACAGATTTAAAGTGTTCCCAAGGAAAAAAGTCTACGGGAGTTAAACCAGGTGATCTTAAGGGCCATTCAATTGTTCCTCTTCTGCCAATCTAACTGTTTGGGAATATCTCGTTTAACCATTGTTGGACGGGAAGAACAAAAGAAGGTGTAGCACCGACCTGCTGGAATTGTAACAAATCCTCTTGTAAAATTAAATTACCGTCTGCATCAGTTTAAGTTTCTAGCTCGTGAGTTATAAGAGTATCAAAAGTATCAATAGTAAGGTAGTGAGGTACAGATCACCTGTCAAATTTCCTTCAATAAATAAAGAACCAATAAATGTATTTCTAAGAATACCACAACAAACTTTAACTTTTTGCGGACGTTGTGTATGCTCTTTTCGAATAATAATACTCCAGTACCGACAATATTATTTATTAACATTTCCAGTATGAAAAAAATGAAGATTTATCGCTAAAACAGATATTTAGCAAAATATTAGCGTAGGCGTTTACCTGATCATACATAGTTTCACAAAAGAGCTCTTGAAATATCTGTATTTAATAGGGATGAAATATATGCATTTTCAGTGCTCTTCTT